CTCCCGTCCTCTTTTTTGCTTGCTGAAATATGGTAACCCTAGTGTTAAAGGACAATTGTAAGCACGTGACTTTCCACATAATTAGCAGCTATCATTGCCACAGGGTGTTGTGTGACCAGGAATGGGAAGAGGGGGCTGGACAGGTCTGAATGGGAGGTAGATTGTCCACTAGCTCTGCCTTAAAATCTGGCATGGCAGAACCCTGCCCAGTGACCTTCCCTCTTGCAGAGACAGTGGCTGGGGTCCTGCTCCCCTCTCAAAGAGACGGGGCCCAATTCCCTTAGGAGCAGTAGAAGTACCCTCTTCCCCTGTCAGAAAGGCAGTGTTGGCAAGAGTACCCCCACCCTGGTACGTCTGCCAGCACCCACATATATCTGCTTGAAGGGAGGAGATGAAACAGCTGTGCTCTTTCCCTCTTACCACACACCCAGAGTCCTGCTGGGGGTTCGGGTACCCCAGAACAGTGGGTCTTGGTATTAACATCCCATTGGGTATTGGGTATTGTAAGAGACTCTTCAATACTGAGTATTGTAGTCAGAACCTTTCTTCCAGCTGTTCCTGTGTCATAGTTTGCTGTGACTTGTTTAAATATAAAAGTGAAACTGTTTTGTAGTAAAATAAACAGTTATTGCATATTGCTATCTATTACTCTTCATACTCACAATGTATATATTTTAATTTTAACTCAGGTTACTGTCAATAACCAGGAGCTTTGGGAGGAAATGCTGGGTTTCAAAGGACTGATAGGTAAGGACTGAGCAAACATTTCAGATCACTTGCATTTAATTTCAAAACAAACATCCCCCTGTACTCAGGACCAGCAAAGTATTGAAATGAAGGTGTGCCACTTTCCTTGTAAGGCAGGGGGTGGGAAACAAACAGAATGATATAAAATGAACATGGTTGAGATGTCTTTAGATCATCCTGGTCCCCTTGCCCATGGAGCACTGGTAGCTGCTGTAGATATTCAGTTGCTTTGTCCCGCCAGAAATGACTTTACCACTTTGCTTGAGATTCTGCTCCACAATCTACTAGACATCATTTTTGAGGCTCCTTCATGATACTCCACCTGAAATTTCTCTTGCTCAGGTTAATCTAACAACTCCTATCTATACCCCTTTCAATCTGTCAGGGAGAATCCTGCCCCAGGAATTGACTCTAGTTAGAGAGATGACTCTAGGCAGAGGTTACACTCTCCTGCTGTTTGCAACAGCTTTCCCCAAACTGGCAGTAATACAAACATTTCTGCAAAGATTCCTATCATAACACTGTCATCAACTTAAGCCTGCAATGACTGAGACCATCAGTGCTTCAGCTTTGAACCAGTATCACTTGTAGGTGCCTAACCTCCTCAGAGTTAGCCTGAGTAGCGGCTAGCCCAAAGGATGCATATGTAGGAGAGTTCATTCCTTATCGGTAACTTGAGAAAGTGGCACCAGTTAACTTAACTTAAATAATTAAATAAAATAACTTAAATCATTTTTTAAACCAATTTTAGTGAAATTGGTGCAAAAGGCTGGATAGACACTCTTATTTTGGTCTAAGAGGCTTGCTCAGATTAATTTAAATCTGTTACTAATTGGCATAAGCTGGTGGTCCTACCTTTTCAGTCCTGTGGGCTGGATGCTAGTTTGGGGGCACCTCTGTGGCCACATACAGAATTATATGCTCTACAAAATAGAGTCCTCCATTTGGCATGACCTCACACATACATTGTATGTGAGGTCATGCTGCATAGAGGATGCCATTTTGCTCTACAAAGTGGCATCCTCCATGCAGAGTGGCCTTGCACATAGAATGCTATTTTGTAGAACAGGTCTGCTGGAGGACAGAGACACGTTTGGGGTCCAGATGGTATTGTTCTGCAGGCTGGATCCAGTCCATGGGTCACCACTTGGACCACCTCAGTGTGTGCATATGTAATCCACACACCTCCTGGGTGTGGTGTTCTGTCCCATCTAGTGGGGGGAGGGGAGAGAAGAGCGAGAGAGAGAGAGAGAGAGAGAACACAAAAACAAAATAAAAAAAGTGTGCTCTACAGCCTTAGCTAACAGCCAGTTGACTTTTAGCTCATGCAGTAGAGGCTGGTGCACTAAGCTCCAGAGGTCCCAGGTTCAATCCTGCCCACCAACCACCAGGGTCTATTGGCACTACACATACATACCCTTTTGCACTGGCTTAACTAAATTCATTTAAAATCGTACCTTTCATTAAACCAATGCAACTTTCTTTTCTAGAGCAGGCCTTAGTTTTACCAGCCTAGCTGATGTCGTTCCAGCATGGGAATTGCACCCCTTTCGCTGGAATGCAGTGCTGTAGCAGGACAGCACAGAGTCTGAATGTCAAAGGGGAGAAAACACTCAGCTTCCTCCACTGAGATTCAGTGAGCAGGTGTATATATTTGGGAGTGTAAGAGTGACCTATAGAGTCTGGCTCCAGGCCCATCTGCTGCCTCAGGTTCCCCTCACCTGCAGCATGGATTGGTTGCTGAGATGATTTAACTCCTGGGCCATGCCCCAAAAAGTCTGCCCCTTTCAGGGTACCAAAGTCCAGGCAAACACAATACAGAAGAGTCTTTCACCCCAGTCATCGACTGGTCACATCCCTTCCTTCCTGAGGGTCTGTCTTCTCTTCCACCTCTGCCCTCCCCCTGGGCTCTGCTCAGCCTCTCAATCTTCCCCTGGCCGGTAGGGGTCACTGCAGCACCTCATTAGATGGTAGTATAAACAGCCATTCAGTCCTCCCCTTACTAGCAGGAGTTGCTGCACCCCTTTACAGGGTGACAGCATAGGGGGACTCCAGATCCACTTTCTACTATAGGTTCCCATCCTGGGAACCCTAAACAACTGGGCTTTCTGACCCTTTGTAGCCTCAACCACCCCATTGCTCCTTCCTAACCCCTCTTCCTGTACTCCCAGCCCTTCCGTATATCATCCTGCTCTTCTATTGACCTCTGACTCCCACAGCTGTTCTCCCTGGAGTCCCTCTCTGACTGAACCACAAGTGCTCTCATTTTCCCATCAGGGCTGCTCTTAACCACATGTTCACCTTGTTATATGACTTTGCCCATTTCCTTGACCTGGGGGATAGCTATGCCCATAACAGGTGCAGCTGAGCCCCAGCCCCCTTAAAGGGTCAGAACACCCTGTAACAATGAGTAATGTCCAGAGCAGATGCTGCCCTCTATTATCAGAAGTGCTAATTATAGGGAAGGACACTGGTTTTCTCTTATTTAAATGGACAAATTATTTCTAGTGATGTTTTAACCTTCTTGGTCCCAGGATATTAGAGAGATAAGGTGGGTGAGGTAATTTCTTTTATTGAACCAGAAATTGGTCCAATGCAAACTATTACCTCACCCACCTTGTTTTGCTAAACTATTTCTATTGATTTCAGCCAGACCCTATTGTAAAAGATAAAAACAAGGTGGGAGAGTTAAGGTTGATTTCCTGAATTTCTGAGGGCTTGGTGTTTCAACTTTAATGTTGTCCAAGAGCTGTTTTTTCTTACAGAATCTGTATGTGTTGAGTCAACATGCATGTGTGTGTGTGAAGATTAATAATGTTCTGAAAGTGCTGCTGTCATACACAAGATTTTTCAGAGGCCAAATTGCACAGCATTAATAGAGCAAACAGAGCTCTTTGGTATACACATCCCTTTTGCAAAACCTTTTTAAGAAACAGGAACAAACCAAATAATTAAAGTTTGCCTGTCAGCTCAACTTTCATCAGTTTACCAACTCATGGCCGTAATCTGACTTGTCAGTATCTTTTTAGGTACCGTGCTTGTTCTTCCCATGCCACTACTCTTCCCTACTTTCCAGTGTTTCTGTTTTTGTCTTATGAAGAGACAATATTTGAGCCTACAACAAGCAGCCTTTTATAATAATTTATCTGGGTGTGGACCACCTAACCCACACGTCTAGACTGAAAGTGAATTGTGGGATTTTGCTTCCTGGCTATCTGCATTTGGAAGTTTCCCCCTTTCACTGCACAAGTGACCCTGCATAATCTGAAATTAGTACAATCAAAATGGAGTGAAAAGCTGCACTGACCAAGTTATTTGTATGTGCTTGGCCTCAGTATTTCTGAACTGTCCCCATCCTGTCATTGCATAACCGTACTGACACAGCTTCTCCTCCGTGCAGTTGTTGATGTGTATCAAGGCTGGTGTGGTCCATGCAGAACAGTCGTGAACCTTTTCAGAAAAATAAGGAATGAGCTTGGTGATGACCTCCTGCATTTTGCCGTGGTAAGATGTAATCCAGAATAGTGTCTGCTTCAAATGTACCAAACCACCCACAGAATCAACAGACAAGGAAATGCTGAAGCCACTTGTCCTTGCAATAGGCAGCAAATGTGTGCACAAGACAGGAGTTCTTATGCATACGTGTAGTCCCACTGACTTCCTGGGCCTAGTTATGGGAGGATGGGGAAGCTTACATGGATACAAATTGCAGGGATGTATCCCAGCTTGAACAGTGGGAGAGACTACATTTTAATATAAATTAAGAAACAGTACTCAATAATATAACATTGTTGCCCTGTCTTCCCTCTCACAGACTGTATGCTGTAGGAATACTACATTTGCAAAGTGAAGCACTCATAAGTTCAGAAATGCTGAAGTTAAGGATGTCTGGGCAACCTTAACTCAGCCTCTCGTGGGTATGCATTCCAATGACTCTCTAATTACATTCCAAATACAAAATCTTCCTTTTAGAAGTTAGCTAAGGTTGCTAAATGGCAACAAGGTATGTGCCTATCATATCACTTATAAACTCAGGGACTTAAGAACAAGGACATGAATAAGTCAGAACCTCAAACCTTACACTGTGCACAAACAGTTTTTCTTATCATGCATAAAGAAATGGATAATTCATCTCAAAGCATCTTTAATTCTGACTAATAGGCTTTTGGTTTTATGTATTTTATCATATTTGGAAGTATAAGTAATGCTAATCAACATGGTCTTATTCATTCCTAATCAATCACATTTGGTATTGTTCTTTGATGACAAGTTTGACTCACCAAGGTAACTGTGGTGATATAATATACCTGTACTTAGACTTCTGTAAACATTTGACTTATTCTGATTAACAACCTAACACTATACAGAATCAATATGGTGCATATTAAATAGCTCAGCTGGCTGAATAGCTCTCAAAATATGATTGCTATTAGGGAATCAGTAATGAGTGGGGGTGTTTCCAGTGGGGTCCCATAGGGAGTGGGATCAAAAATCAGATATGCCAATAATCCCTCATGTGCCTATGTGTGGCTGTGCCTTCCTTTCAGTCATTAAAACATTTAAAAGTTACTTAAAAACGCAAGTAAGCTAATTTGGAGGCTGGATGTACATCTTATAGGGGATAATTTAAAAAATGGTGCTTAGCACCTTTATTAAAGAAGGATGTTGTTTGCACAGTGAACAAATTGGTAGTGACATTTAAAATAAGATCTTAATACACCTCTACTTTGATATAACGCTGTCCTCCGGAGCCAAAAAATCTGACCGCGTTATAGGTGAAACCGCGTTATATTGAACTTGCTTTGATCCACCGGCATGCGCAGCCCTGCCCCCCTGGAGCACTGCTTTACCGCGTTATATCCGAATTCGTGTTATATCGGGTCACATTATATTGAGGTAGCGGTGTATAAGCAATGTGTATATCTAAAAACATATTTTAAAAGCTTTTCCAAACCCTCACACTAATAGGGCAAAAATATTTCTCAACACTTTTTTAAATGTTTACTTTTCTACAATGTAAAATTTTGATATATCCAATTTGATATTATGTTTTATTTAGGCTGAAGTAGATTCCATTGATGCTCTAGAGAACTACAGAGGAAAATGTGAACCTACCTTTCTGTTTTATGCAGTAAGTTAAAATATTTTAAAATTGTAAACAATAATAAACCTTACCAGTTGAAATAATCATTTTCTTCCACAGATGCCTTTTTTGCATTTTTGATCTCCAGCTCCTGGATATATATTCCACCTCTTTCATTCACTTCGCTAATCAGTTTGGTGCCAAAATCCTGTCCTGAATGCAACCTGATTTATCTGTCCCAAATGCTGCCATGCATGATAGTCGTTTTATTTTCTGTGTGTCTGTCTAGGTATTTATAATGTACCCACCATCTAGACACAATAGCATCATATCCAATCAGTTATTATCTTTTGAACACTCTGTCCTAAGTTGCTTTCCAGAGCAGCTGTAAATAATCCAATTACAACGTTGTTATTTTATTAATAAATAACTGAACAAGAGAGACGTTAAGATATACTGTATAGGTGAGGGGAAATAAATGTGTAATGGAATTTTGAAATGAGATGAAGAGCTGATGGATCAGGACCAAGGTCCAGCTAAGCTGGTGTTATTTCTCCACCATTGTCCAGGATGAGCTGCATCAGAGGGAGGTGTTAGAATGCTCCTAATGGCAGTTATAGAATAACCTGCCCATAGGGCAAGTTTCTTCCTAGCCCCCATCAGTCAGGGTTGACTCTTGCCCTGAAGCATGAAGGTGTGTATCCCTTCTTTAAAAGGACAAAATCACCCTCATTAATGTAACAGTGGATGGTCTCATTCTCCATCTGAATGTCCTTTCTGAATCCTGGACTCCATGATATCCTGTGCAATGAGCCCCACAGGCCACTTATTAAAACCCCACATAGTTGAGAACCAGGGCTTTGTCTTTAAATCACTTCAGGTGTCCCCTTGTCTGTGCCTAGTGAGAGAGTAACTTGTCTAGTCACTCATGGCCTTCCATCCATTACTATGTGAAATGGTTCAAGCTGCTCCCAGAGAACATGCTGCTTCCCTCCTCTTTAGTTCATTCACAGATGGCAAGAACTCTCCCATAGAGCATCTTGCTGACCTGTACCTACAGCCATGCTGAGGGTCCAGGGCAGCACTATTTGTGCTCAGGCCATAACTGAAGATAGACAATGGGGGTGAGGAACCAGAGTTGCAAGAGCCCTTTGTCATCTGCCAATAGGCAATGCATGTCTCAATTATATCATGAGAGTGTGTGCTCACTGGCTATTGACGTGTATCTAAAAGGTGTCATTTGAGCAGTATTAGCACCCCTCTTCTATCTCCCTAGTGCTGGACAGTCCGAGTAGCTGAGGTCAAATAAGTGGAGATGGGCACTTGGAAAGCTTGTGCAGATGATGGAGTATGGTGTTGTATACATAGCATGTATACAGAACAGAACTTTTCCCTATTGCCACAGGCTGAATGGCTCACCCTGAGGGAATACGGATGCTGCCCTCATTTCCTGGCACTGTAGGAAAGAGGGCTCTCTGGCAGAACACCTGCCTGGCCTGGAGCTGAGTAAGCTTTGTCCCTGGGGAGTGGGGGTGGTACTCAGGACCTCCCAATCATCCCCAACAGGAAGGCAGCTGACTGTGATCTGCCACAACGTGGATTAATTTAAAGCAAAATAATTTAAATCACTTATTTAAATCATGATTTGAAATCCACAAGCAGGAAACTTTGATTTTAATAATCGATTTTAATTGTGGTTTACATTTGTACTTTTTAGTTATTTTCCTAGAGAAAGGTTGATTCTCTTTGGTTGGTGACAATTCAAACATGTTGATTTGCAACGAAACATAGTCTTTACACTAAGTTTGGTACTTCTTTTTGCTAGCCAGGATGATACACAGTATCTATACACATTATTTAAACAATTATATAACTTAATTTACATTTATTCAGCCTCTTAATTTCCCCATTTTTATCATCTTAAAAAATTGTGAATGATACATTTCTTATTTATTATATGATGATTAATTTTTTACTTGTGATTTGTGTCAAGCTCTATTTGGATGGAAATTCAGATTCAGTTATAAATGGACTCAGACAGCATTAAAGGTTTTGTTATTAAATAAAGCTACCTTAAAAGTGCTGAATACATAAGAAAAAGTTTATCAAAACACGTTTTTCCTGTAAAACTGAATTATTAAAGGAAGTATTATCTATACTTAACTGAACTGATTGTTTCTGGTCATCATGTCCTTCAAGATTTTAGAAATAGTAGATTTCATCCTCACACCCTAGTTTATATTTATAGATTGGGGGGAAAAAACAAGCTTTAATGCTTTTTCAATTCCTGTTTGGTTTCTTGACTTTCAACTGAACTAGATGCATAAACTGAAAAGAAGAAAGCATTCTCTCTTCACCTATAGAAGAGGATAATGCTGTCAAAAGCTAGTTTGGCACTTCATCAAACTCTGGTTCCAGGTGTCTAGTCAGTGTCTTCCAGTTTTGTGTTTTGATTTTCTTTAAAATTTGGCAGCAAACGTACTGCTTATTATTATGTTTTGTATTTAATTTAAATGATTTTATTGGAGTATAAGAAGCTTAGGCCTTAACATTAGTTGTCATTTCAATTTTAATTTTAAATAGGTTTATTTAAAAAAAATTGTCTGCATTTAATTTAATGGAAAAGCCAATTTTTTAATCGATTTTTATCCACCCAGGTATGCTAGCCGTGTGCCCCACAATCTTTTGGAAGAACCCAGGGTCAGAAAGCCCAGGGGAAATGTTACTTTTGCTCTTTACTCAACAAACCTAACATGACGGAACCCACTGGGCATGTTGTAGTCCAAATCAGCATGTTTACTTACTATATACAATATGTTGCTCGAGCAGGTTTCTAAACATAGAACACACAACACCACTAGAGGACTCACAAGCTATTTAAAGGGATACTACCTAATTCCTATACACTGTAGCAAGACTCCTTCATGCCACCTCTCAGCTCATGGCACAGATGTGTAATGGCTTCATGGTTGAGTCTCACCACTGGGTTACCTGTGCTGTTGTGAGTTCAAGGAAAGTTTTGCAGGGCCCTTACACTTATTAGGGTTGTTACATCATTTCATCTTGTTCTGGCCAGGGCCAGCTTGCACACCCTTCCCCCACATCTGCCTGAGCAAATAGAAATGGATCAGGCTGGAAGCAATGCATCCCCCACCAAGACAAGAAAACATGACTGTATCCCCTCCCCTTAGAGCAGTGTTTCCCAAACTTGGGACGCCACTTGTGTAGGGAAAGCCCCTGGCAGGCTGGGCCGGTTTGTTTACCTGCTGCCAGGGCTGGCTCCAGGGTTTTGGCCGCCCCAAGCAGCCAAACAAAACAAAACAAAAAAGCCGCGATCTGTGGCGGCAATTCAGCGGGAGGTCCTTTGCTCCGAGCAGGAGTGAGGGACTGTCTGCCGAATTGCCGCTGAACAGCTGGACGTGCCGCCCCTCTCCGAAGTGGCCGCCCCAAGCACCTGCTTGGTAAGCTGGTGCCTGGAGCCGGCCCTGCCTGCTGCGTCCGCAGGTCCGGCCGATCGCGGCTCCCACTGGCCGCGGTTCGCCGCTCCAGGCCA